CCCCAAAACCCCAAAACCCCAAAACCCCTCTGGAAATGTAAATATTTAAAAATAAAAAAATCTTAAAATATGCCAAAAAAATTACACAGCTAGAATTAAAAAGAATCGATCATTCAGAAAGTACTTGGATTCATAAAAGGGCTTGGCTTTTACCGAAGAAACATTGTGCTCATCTACAAATGAGATGACAAGTATAGAACTCATATTGGTGGAGTAGGGGTCTCTCCCTCTAGCATCTGTCATTGTGGGTACAATTGTATTGACTTAAGTAATTCTGCACATAAAAGTGATGTTTAAGAAAGGGGATACTTTCTATGTCAAGTAATCTTTGATCAATGATATCTTTACATCTTCCTATATTCATTACCCTGCTAGGAATAATTATGAACTTGATACTCTAAGGAATCAGTTTGATTTTACCTTTGAGTTTTAAGTCAATAGAGTTGACCACTTAGGAAGTTCTCCTAATTTTAGCTTTGAAATCAATCTTGTTGAACAGGAATGGGTTAAAGAGAATGGAGCCTCTACAGCTAAGAGAAATTACACATCTATACAGCTCGAGGAATGAGGAGGAACAAATTCGGGTTATATCATTTAAATGAAATAAAAAACTCTAAATTGGTGATTATCATTGTAAAATCCAAGATAATTTCTCTGTAGCAGGAAGCTTCTTTTCGCATATATATCATTATATTGGAATGAAATTGAAACGTTGTATTAATGTGATTACCACTTGTTCATCAAATTAGACTACTTTATAAACATTAATTAAAAATTCAAGATTCTCTTTTGCTATTGTGAACACTGTTGTTGAACTCAAAAATTACAAGGTTCCTTTACAATATGTTAAACCCTATGAAGGTATCTATAATTTGACCGTACAAATAAAAAACTAAAATTAACAATTTAAAGGGTTCATAAAGAACAAGAAATCCTATTTTAAAATTAAATATTATTCTTCGTTTTAGTATGTTGAGTCGCCTAGTGAAAACCAATGCAATTTTCACAAATATTAACATGAACCTCCTGATTTGGAAAGCACTAGGAATGCTAATACTAGTCCGGAACAATTCCTTGGCTGTTCAGAAGTTAATGTCTGATGTCTTCTTAAAGAGATCATTATGGTTTGCTAATTAAGCTAAGCGGCTGTATTGGTGATAGGTTATACTGGGGCCTCACTCCCAATACAAAGGAAAAACTTATATATTTATTAGGAAGGATGAGCCATTTTTCATGATTATTACATTTAACTTGGCTACCCTGATGAACGCAAGTTTTTCCAAGTTGTAGATCTAAGGAAAGATATGAAGCAGAGTCTTCGAGTGGTGATGTTCTTTAGATATATTTGAGGTATTCTAAAGTCGGTGATGCTTGTGAAACAAGGATTTACTCTATTGGTGATATCCTATGTCGAGCAGCCGGTCTTTAAGGATCGTTTAAAGCAATAGGATCTATTTTCTTACTCATATTCTTTGAAAGGCTATTTGTAGCTTCGATTCTAAGAAAGATATAATAAATTGACACATGACAGGAAAGAGAAAGACTTGATCCTATGTGAGTAATAACTAAAGGATCACCAGAATAATCGGAGTTCAATCTTTCGAGCAGATGGGAGAAGGGTTAAAGAGCAGTATACCGAAAGAAAGAGATTCTACGAAGAGAGTCTGCATGATATTAAAAATTTAATGAGATGAAGGCAGAGAATAGGTCAAAACGTGCACAGTCGGATATCTTAAATAAGTGTGAGAGTACCATGAGGGACAAGAAGGTTCTTCGATGTAGGTACTTCGACATTTTCAACTTCATCTTTTGTTAAGTTATATACAGTCGAAAGAAATCGATGAGGTTGAGACCTGAATTTGGAGGTTATCTATATTTGAGATAAGACAAGAGAAATTTTTGGATGAGCTACCCTTTTTAGTGTAGATTATGAAACTATCTTAAAATCTGTGAGGCAGCTGAAGCTGCTGACTCTTGTCCTCTTTAACCCCAACAAAAAATTTATGATGAAGTTGCAGAGGAATAATATGATTGACTCATCCTCTTCTGAAGCTTCTGATGAAGGACAGATGAACGTCGTCAGTCTGATATAAAACAATAAAACCGTTCTATTTTCAAAGTTAGTAGATAAGGAAATCAATAGGGCAATCGTCAGCTATAAAGGTAAAAAGCTTAGGGATATCGAACAAAGAATTATTAGTGGTAAGTCTCTATAATCTTTTGGAAGAACCAAAGAGAGGTTTTCGGATTCAGATATTAATGAAGAATCTGATGCTTTCTGTAACATTGGATCAGAGATGCTGAATCAAGGTAAAAGTGCATTTTATTTATAGACTCTAAGGTGCTAGAATCTGCCAAAAAGAGGTAATATACTCGATCCTCTTTGATAGTAAAGAATGATTCATCAAGAAAAATTCTGTACATATGCCCAGTTCTTTGACAAAGAAGATGATGCTAAGAGCTTTCAAAATTTCAATTCAGTTGATAACAAGCTGTCCACTGCGCTTAACTTTATCCACTCTATAATTTAACAAATGCTAAGAAAATGAAAAGAGCAAGAATCTCTCAACAAATTCTTAACCCTAATCCCTAATCTTTCAATTATCATCGCTATCTTTGGGGTTTTGGGGTTTTGGGGTTTTGGGG